TGGGTGAGGAGAGACGCTGCGGGGAAGGAGAGGGACGACTTGTAATTTGAGGAAAACCCACCTCGACCGGAACACATCCCTCTCGCTTCTCCCTCCTCTTCGTCTTCTTCGTCTTCGCCTCCTCCCTCGCCTCCTACCTCCCTCTTCGCCTTCTCCTTCCCTCTTCGCCTCCTCCCTCGCCTCCTCCCTCCCTCTGCCCCTTCAACCACCCTCGCCATGACGAACGCCGTCCCGCGCAAGCCACGCAAGCCGCACAACACGCGCCTCACAGGCTACTACGGCCTCTCAACGCCAGCCGCCACCCCGTCCTCCCCGCACATACATCGCGGCGAGGCGGTCGTACGAACGGTCTGCATGGCAGCACCTTTCCACTCTCGAACATTAGATAATTAAATGGGCAGCTCCGCTCTCCACCAACCTCCGTCACACCAGCCTCGTGGCAACAAATTTCCGTCCTTGCATCAAAAACAATTAACTGACCAACTCCGTTCGGTACTAATCTTTGTTAAACTAGTCTCCTGGCACCACTTTCCATCATTGAGCACAAAAAATAAATGAACAACTCCGCTCGCTGTCAGTTTCCCTCTGACAAGACTAAAGCGTTATAAAAGCAATATTTTCTATGATTCACACATGTAGTAAGATCGGGAGGCCGGCAATCAAAGTACCTCGAGATTTAGTTGCGGTAGAGGCAATTTCGAAAGTTAGATAACAGAATGGACGCCAGGTATATCATGCCCACGGGGTGTTCGCGAACCTTCATTTTCCGTTTGAAATCGATTGCGGAAAATTGTAGCTTCACTTCTTTAAAAATCCATTCCACACTAATCCGCACTCACGACATTGTCTTGTTAAATGCAGACTGGGCAGGAGAGATGTTGGAGCCCTGAAAAGGTACATCGACAAACCACCGCTGGTTGTAGCCAGAGTTGCCATATATGCAGTACTGCTTTCCTTCCACCAATAACACTCTAGGAAGAATATCGTCCATTTTGTTGCCTGCATATAAAGTCCAGTCATGTCTTCTACCTTCTAATGGACCATACAAGTGCTGTATGAGACCATCTGGTGTGTTCACAGCTTGATATTTGACAGCGTGCTTGCGCTTATGTCCATTATAACCGACACGCTGAGCCAGACTTCCGCTCGGACGGGCGATCCCTAAAACGGTACCATCTATAAATCAGACGCAATTACGAAGGGCTTTTCACTCGTCGTGAATACGCTGTGCGTAAAGCTCTGCTCTTTGGGTAATGAAAAGCTCACTAATGTCCTCCGTCACGAGGTGTTTTCGAGTGTTCAAAAGGTGCTCTATTGCTTCCCAAAAAATTTCGGAAAGCTGTTGCGCATGCTTTCCGAAGAGTTATTCAAGGTCTCCCCATCTGGATGGAGCAGCGAGACGCCGCAAAACGGTACAAGTCGCAAGAATGGGAGAGGCACGATATCTATTTCTGGACGTTCTCGGTTGCGTTTCAGACCAACGCATCACAGAGACAAGCTGTGATATTTGCCGTTTTTGAAACCGGAAATTCTGCAAGCACTCCCGGTCCGTAAGGCAATTGAAGGTAAATTAGAAGTCTTAGTGCGAAATGCGTCTAACACGCAATAAATGGTAGTGATTGTCCTTGGTGGCGCTCGAGAACTTTGCAACCAGAGTAAGAATTGATTTTGTGTCAGAAAGCGCGGAGCCAGGAATCATCTGACGTCGGCTGGAGACAGTTCTCAAGGCCACTTGCAAATGGAGTTGTCAACGTCTGACCAAGGACGTGCAATGGTCCTTTTGTCTGCCGCGCCCCATCGCGAATGGTGAGGGTTACTGAGCTCGCCGCCGTCGCGATCCTGGCACTACTGTACGGTATGTACTAGTACAGCATGACCTTCCCGTTTATTACTCCTGCGGGCGGAAGTTTTCTATTTGCGTAAACGTTTTCGGAAACTGTATAATCACTTTTCAGAAATAGAATTCAGCAATTGGTATTATTGCAGAATTTCTGCATTTGTATTCCTGAATTTCTCGTTTGCGTAAGCTCTGTATTAGTCACTTTTCTACGGATATTTCCCAGACCCCACGTCAATTCGAGCAATTGCGATATTCGAGGCACTCCATGGAGTTACTTTATTGTCACCTTCCTTCCTCCTTCGCCGCCCGGAGTTCCCTCGCACGCAATTTCCGTTCCTTTCCCAGCTCGCCCTACCGCTGCCCTACGTGCGGTTCCGTCAAGACAAGGCCACCCGCACTCATAGACACTCACTAATATAGGTGTCTCCCGACCCAAAAGTGTTCACTGAAAGAGGCTGAGTGATACTAATTATGGTACCTGAATGTACTGTGCCTGTCGGGTAGGGCGCTTACGCACTCAAGAGCAGCCTGTCTCCCCTTCAGCAACGCCCACCACGAACTTGATCACCATCGCGATGGCCTTCTCCGTAACCTCAGGCCGATCTTGAAACAGCTGATGCCCCGACCCTCCCGGCTCAACCAACCTCTTCACGCCCTCGACGCGGACCCTTTCCACAAACCTCTCCGAGCTCTCAAAGTCGGTTCTCTCATCTCCCCGGTTGTGTGCTACCAACACATTACGCGCGTGCACGTCCCCTTCCTGAACCTTGCGCTCGAACATCTCCATCGCGCCCAGCATCGCGGCCGCCGTGCCGACCCTTAGCGGCTGCCCGTACCCTACGTACGGGTCGCGTTTCGACAGCTCCGCGCACTCGGCGTCCCCAAACGCTTTGTCCCACGTCTCCCCGCTGACCTTCTCGCCGGGGACGGGCAGGCCGGGCGCGACGCCTGCCAATGCCCTCACGACGCGCAGCACGGGGGCCGGCGGCAGTAGCCCCTTCTTAACGCGGAGGGCGGGCGAACAGAAGACGTAGCCCGAGACGCGAGCGTTGGTCTCGCGTAGCATCATGAGCGCGGCGATCATGCCACCGGCAGACTCGCCCAGCACGAAGACGGGTTTGCATTGCAGTTCGGCGTGCAGGCGGTCGACGGCAGCGCACGCGTCGTCCACGTGGTCCGCGGGATCTAGCAACAGGCCGGGCAGGCCGCGGATGCGGTCCGAGCGGCCGGCGCCCAGCGGGTCAGTCGCGACGACTTTGATGCCTGCTGCAGTGAGTGCGCGCGCTAGCTGGTGGAACCAGCCGGCGTGCCAGATGAGACTCGGGATGATGACCAGGCCGGCCACGGGGAGCGTGGATGGCGTCCAGGTTAGCGTGTGCAGGTTGAGGGTCGGGTGGCGAACCGAGGGGAGGTAATGGGAGAAGGCGGCGTGACCGCTGTTCGGTGTGCGCGAGGAGAGCAGGGCGCGGCGCAGCGTGCACGAGGGCGGCGGGCGGACCTTGGTGAGGCGGCGTGGTGGGGACTGGAGGGGGCCTGATGGGGAGAGAGGAAGGGGGTTGGGGGGGAGGGCGAAGGAAGGGAGCGGAAAGATGGGGAGCGAAGGCATTGTGCGCATGTGTGATGTCGATCGGTTGTTGCAGGAAGAAGGGGAAGGTGGTTGCATCAGGAAGGAAGGCGCACGCCGTTGTTCACTTGTACAGTAGATACCCTTGATATGGGCGACAGCAAGGACTAGTCAGGCAGGAGAGCGAGGAAATATCTCGGTGCATCTCGATGTTCGACTCTGCCACGAATGCAAAAACACCCAATGATCTGCGCATTTGGCATCGCCATCCGCTGTCATCCAAAACGAACAAAAACCCTCATCCGAGTCGTTCGGTAATCCCCCTGATGCGCGTCTTGAACATTTTGTGAGTTCCCTCGGCGTCCAATGCGCAATTCAAAGGCCTATTCAAGCCCGAGTCCTTCGACAGCCCGCTCTTCGCCCACTTGCCCAACAACTCCTCCTTTCCCAACCTCTTCGCAAGCAGCTTGGCTAGCACCCACCGATTGCTAACTTCATCACTCACCATATGAACGATCCCTTTCCCTGCCCCCGCCCCTAGCTCCAACATCGCCCTCCCCAAGTCATCCGCAAACGACATATTTCTCAACTCGTCCTCAAAAATCTCAATCTCCCCCTTCCTCCCGTCAAGACAATCCACCACAAACTGCACCCCCTTCCCGTACTGCTCCCCCTCGATGCTCAATATCAAGCTCGTCCTCGCCACCACCACCTCGCCGCTCAGCCCCAGCAGCCGTCTCTCCATCTCCTCCTTATATCTCCCGTACGGATTGATGGGGCACGTCGCGTCCGTTTCCTTATATCTCTCCCCCGCCTTTAACTTGCCATCGAACACCAAGTCTGTCGACACGGCCACGAACCTAGCGCCCAGCATGACGACGCCCTCTGCGCAGTGGAGCACATCGTCAACGATCCCAGCGCGTACGGCGTCACCCCCCTTCCCCGCCGCCCCGCCGTGCCTGGGCACGGCGCAGTACAGCACCGCGCCAAGTCGCGCCTGTGCCGCGAGCAGCTCGCGCACCGCCTTGTGATCCGAGCAGTCTAGACACACCCACGTTACGCGCAGGTTCAGATGCGGCGGCGCCGACGTGTGGTACGTCGCAGTGATGCTCCCCGGCCAACCGGTGCCGTCGTCGGCGAGCGCAGCGGAGAGCGTCTGCAAGCCCAGCTCGCCGGTCGCACCGATGATTATGAGAGAGGGCGTGGGTGTGCCCATGATCCGGGATTAGCGTGGCGGGACGGCGGCCGGATGGGTGATGAGGAAGCGGGAGGGTGGATAATTGTGCGAGAGTTGGGGCGGCGTTTCGTTGTGGAGATCTTGTTCTTGTCTCTAAAGGTCAGCGCTTCTTTCTACATGTCTATGCTGGCCTCGATCGCTGTGCAAATGCAGATCCAAATCGGAAGGGGATCAGGGATTCAAAGATACGTGTTCGGCGTATGACACGAAGGACACGTTAGAAAAAGCCGGCGACATGTCCATCGACAAGAAGGATCAACGAGAACTCATTTGCGTGCCCCAAGTGCCGAACTCTATCCGCTCTTCGATCCGCGCGACTTGCTGCCGGACATGCAACAGCGGTTGACCGGCTCACAACCATGCTCCTAGCCGGCCTGCGCCTCGCGGGCGGCCCAGGTGGCACGCGCTTGGGTCTCCGCGCGGTGCCCCTACGCGCGATCTCGAACAATGCGCGGATCGTGCGTCAAAACGTGCTGCGCAAGATGAAGAAGGGTGTGGAGCGTCTGCCTTCGCAGGGGCCGGACCCTGCGGCGAGCTTCGGGAAGGGGTGGCGGCTAGCGTGCGCAGCGGTGGTGGAGAGGTACCCCGTGGTGACGCCGGAGTGCGACCCGTTCGAGTCCGAGTACTTGACGGGGCGGTTTCTCGAGATGCAGAGGCGTGCACGACCAATATCGCCAGCATTGTTCCTGACCGAGAAGGACCTGATGGAGGGGAAGCGCGAGCCCGACTTGAGCGACCCGTATGCAGAGATGTATCAGCCCGCGCCGCGCACGACGGAAGCGGATAGGACAGGGGACATGCGGTCGCTGGAGAGGGCGCTGGACGAAAGACTGTATTTTTTGGTGAAGAGGGGGGAGAAGGGACGGTTTCAGTTCCCGCAGATACTAGCGGCTGATGAGAAGGTGCCGTTGTGGAGATATGCTGAGCTCGCGTGGAGAGGGGTCACAGGGGAAAAGAGGCCGGAGTTACACTTTATCTCGCATACGCCTGCGTGCCATTTGGAACATGTGTACCCGGTCGAGTACCAACAGAAGCATGATGTGTACGGGGTCAAAGTGTTTTTTTACAGGGCAATGTTGATGCAGGGCGAGGTGGAGGGGGTGAGGAACGCTGTGGACTTTGTATGGGCGAGGGATGGCGAGCTGGCAGAATACTTGACGGCAGAGGTGAGGACGGCAGTAGACGGGATATTGTTGGGTGTTGGGCCTACGGTGCGATCCAAGGATTTGTTCGATGTAGAGCACCCCTAAGTGCGTAAAAGCAGATGTGGTAGCTGTAACAGGCGGCGGTACGAATGAAGCGAGCGAGCGGAAACGAGAGTCTGGATTTTTTCCCCCTTTTTTTCTTCTTTTTTCCTTTTTTTCTTTATTTTGCACGTACAGTATACTTGTACGCGTGGTGCTTATGGTGGCGGGAGGGAGGCGCTTTCGCGGGCAAAGCATGGAAAAGGCCGGACAAGGAGGTGTGTTGACTCTGTGCCTCGCAAACGATGCAGCGAGGGCATGTATGGGGATTTGATACTCTACGGTATCGGAATAATAGGTTTGCGTACTGTGTACGCTTCCACAGATATTTTTCAAGGGCGTCACACTTGGGAGGCGATATGCACAAGTATGTAGGATTTAATGAGAAGAGGAAGGCAGAATCGGGGCGCAGGCAAAAACACAGACACGGCGGCGAAGGCGACAACCCGGCGCCGGCGCGCGGGAACAAGACACGGGCAGTGAGAGGAGGACAAAAACAGTTACAGCACCAGCGGCGGAGGGGGTCACTCGGCGGCGGGCGGGTTGCCCATGGTGGCCTTGGTGTCTTGTATGGCGACGCGCAGCTCCTGAGCGAGCTTTTTGAGCTCCTGCAGGTTTTTACGAGCGCGCGTGCCGGCGGCCTTGTTGCCTTTCTCGAAGAACTTTTGGCTGTCCTTGGAAACCGAGTCCATTACCTCCTTGAGCTGGTCGAGCTTGTCCATATTTGCGGGCCTTTTGGTCGCGGCTGGGGTGCGGAGGGTGCGGAGGGGTAGGGGGAACTTAAAGGGCAGCAGGCGTGTGCACGTGCAGTGAAGAGTGGCGAGGAGGGGGGGAAGGCAGGGGTTCGAAGCGAGATGGCTCTGGAGGTCGGCTGGTGGGGTGGCTGAAACGGAAGCGGGTGTGTTGGGCGTTGTAGAGCGGGTGAGCGAAACGGCAGGGTGCGGAGGGGGGGGGGGGACTGAGGGCGGCAAATTGAGAGCCGCGCGGTTGTAAAAAAAGCGGGCGCGGGGTGCGAGGCTGGGTGCGTGCGGTTTTTTTTTTTTTTTTTCTTTCAATTTTTTTGCTTCTTTCGATTCGCCTCGTGCCTCACGCGCGCCATTTCCGTCGCGCCATTACCTGTGAGTGGAACGGCCGCTACGACCCCCCCCGCGGCACGCGCGTTGCGTGAGCATCGGTCGCGCGGTCCCCGCTCCCGCCGCCGCAGCCCCGCAGGCCGAAAACTAGAACAGCAGGTGCCGCAACAGCTCCAGCAGCAGCACCAGCAGCGCGACCGTCGGCCACAGCAGCATGCAGAACGTCCGCAGCGTGTACGCGTCGCCCGCGCGCGCCGCGTCGCCCGCGCGCTGCGTCGCGCGCTGCGTCGCAGCACCCGTCCGGCTCACGCCGGCCTCCAATGCGTCGAGCTCGGCATTCTGCAGCCGCGTCTCGCGCTCTAAGCTGCGCGCCACGCCCTTCACAGTGGACACGTCGCCCGCCAGCGCGCTCAGCGCAGCGTCCTGCGATGACAAGGCCGCGCGGTGCGCGGCCAGCTTCGCGCCAGCCTCCAGCAACGGCGTCGATTCGGTCATGGTGCGACTCGAGGCCCGGGGATCGGTGGCGAAGGCGGCGGAGGCAGCTGCTCTACCCTAGAAGGATTCGTCTCGTTTCCGTTCACGATACGGCTCGCCCCATGTCCTGCCACGCAAGGTTGACAGCCGCTTACAGTATCACGCCATCATATACGGACAGGCTGTCGCTTTCGGCACAACGGAACGGCGTCCCTCTGTGTGCATTGCTGGACCGTCTCCATTGGCGGTGCTCTCGAATGCGCCCATGTCCGAACCGACTTAACGATGCCGCCTCGCAAACCTTATTGCCCAAAACCCCACCCCCCCCTTCCTGCTATCCGCAAACCCGGCACCATGACGCCCGCACTCCCCGCCTCCTTGCTCCGCGCACCGGGTGTGGACGTGCCGCCGACCGCGGCAACGCCCTTGCGCCCCAACCTGTGGGCGGTGCTGCGCGACTCGGTCGGCATGGACCTGACGCGCATCGCGCTCCCGGTCTTTTTCAACGAGCCGCTGTCCTTCCTGCAGCGCCTGGCAGAGGACCTAGAGTACTACCACCTGCTCGCGCGCGCGGCCGCTGCAGGACCCGGCCCGACTCGCACCGCGCTCGTCGCAGCCTTCTTTGTCAGCCACTACTCCAGCACCGCGCACCGGGCATCCAAGCCATTCAATCCCCTCCTGGGTGAGACGTTCGACCTCGTCGTCCCCGGCGCTTTCAGGCTCGTCGCGGAGCAGGTCGCGCATCATCCACCGATCAGTGCTATTCACGCTAGCGGTGACGGATGGACTTATCACACCGCGCATGAGATCAAGAACCGTTTCAAGGGCAACTCCTTGGAGGTGTGGCCGGAGGGCAATGTCTATGTCACTTTTGATGATGGCGATCACTATGTGTACGAGCAGGCGCATACGTATGTTCATAATATCATCGTGGGCGGGCTGTGGTTGGACAATGTGGGCACGGTGGTCATCAGGGAGGTGAGCAAAGGTAAGCTGTTGGCGAGCGTTAAGCTGAAGAGAAGCGCGCTGTTGTTCGGGGAGGCGAAGAAGGTGGGGGATTTTTCTGGCAAAGTGTGCGATGTGGGCAAGGGGGGGAAGGCGGGGAAAGTATTGATGAAGATGGACGGCAACTGGAACAGCGAGGTCAGGGTGGACGGAAAGTCTGTCTGGACGGCGACGCAGAGGCCGACCAAGAAGGACACGGCGGGCCACGCCATGACGGCGTGGGCGTGGGGTCTGAACACCAAGCTAGAGCCCGGGGTAGTGGGAAGCGAGGTGCCGAAGACCGATTCGAGGCTCAGACCGGATCAGCGCGCGCTCGAGGAAGGCCGCTATCGCGAGGCCGCCGCGGAGAAGGAGAGGCTCGAGGATGCCCAGAGGAGGAAGAGGAAAGAAGGCGTGTGTGAAAGGCCCAGGTGGTTCGAGCTGGTAGACGAGGCCAGTACGGGGAGGAAGGAATGGAAATATCGCGGAGGATACTTTGAGTGCAAGAGGGAGAGATCCTGGCCCGACGACTTGCCTGATATCTTTTGAGGCATTCAAATGTTTTAATTGTTGCGTGGGGGGGGGGGAGGGGTCGCTAATGGGTCGAGAGTCTGCGTTTTTTCGAAGCGGCTCCGAATGAGGGGCATGGTTTTGGCGATAGCAGACCAAACTGTATTATTATCGTAGATTGTAGTTGCAAAGTGTGAATGCCTGCCTAAGGAGATGTGCTAGCTGATGGTTATTTCATGAGCCAAGTGTTGCTAGGTTTGCCGAGTGCCACTACTTCAAACGAGAAAAAGGACAGTCTTAGAGAAACACGCAGATCATACCCTTCGAAGGGTAGCTGCAGGAATTTTGCCCTCGGACCCCCATTGACACGTGTACATTAACGCACCATAACAAAATTTGTCATTAAATGATATAATATATATCATTTAATGATGGCTGATGTCATCATGTGGACATCACACGGACCGTCACATCGGGTAACAATACCGGAGACGCCTTCAACACATTAACTCTCGTTCTCTCTCCCAACACCAGCGTTGCCAGCTTTCAAGGCCTTTTCACGCTCGTCGCCCACTGCCACCGAATACTCTTCACATTGACTCCGCTGTGGTGCCCGATTTCGGCGCCATAGCGCCCATTTCAAGAAGCGTGAGTCCGCGATACGCATGTGTATTTCTTTGTTGATAGACATCCAACGCTGATGCGACGGGGACACAATGAGGCAGCAGCGGCGGCGGATGGTTAGCCTTGAAACTTGTTAGATACATGTGGAGAAAACGTGATGCGGTTCGTGCTGAGAGCGGGGCACAGGAACCGAACGCCCATTCACAATGAACAGTCGCCATGTTGACCTGCAAGCATATGCGAGGAGAGGCGAGATGGGGGGGTGTCCAAGACCGTGCTGTGGCAAGATCCTGATTTCATGCAAATGGGGCGAATCGCGTGTCGGCTTGTCTTGAGACAAGCCGACACGCGGTTTGCCCCGTTGAGATCAACTGGGAAGG